ATAATTCAGGCTATTATTATATAATTTTTTAGCTTTATAAGTTATAGAAACCATACTAACTGGCTTAATTCATAGAACCAGTGTAGGCAATAGGATATATTTAAATCATGAGCACATTTAGCCTGTTCTGAACAAAGATATATTGTGTTGACATTTTCATGTTAAAACAATTTTTAAAGATTCTAATTCACACCAAAACTAAAGCTTTCTCTTTGTGTCTCATAACTAAAGTAGGAAAGGTTATTTATAAATATTTCTGTACATATAGAAATAGCTGTTTTTGACCAAGTAAAAAGGATAATCTTGTGTCTGTTTCTCAAGCCTTAAGGAGCCCTCTGGTTGCTCTGTTAGAATATCCCATCTGAATGAGGGACATAGGTACAGTCACTTCCCATGAGGCTGCTGGTGGAACCACAGTGGGTCAGTATGGGGTGGGCTTGGGGAAGCTCCAGACCAGGGTAGTGCTAGGAAAAAAATAATTGTGAAAACAACAGGTGACCCTTCCCAGTCTCTTGAGGATAACTTTGGTTTTTTAAGGAAATGTGGTATTTATGAATTAATCTAGCTTTTTACCCATGTGTGCCTTCACAGACTAGCTTCCTTTTATGAAGTGGCAATTCCGGAAATGGAGTCTGCAATTAAGAAGAGGAGGCTTGAAGACAGCAAGTGAGGCGGGGACAGAACTAAGAATGTTGTATGGGAAAGGGAGACCTGATCATAGCCCTTCCCATCCCTGACTGCAGCATTCCCAAAGGAATAGGACCAAGGACTAGGCAGCTTTTGGCTCATTCATCCCTACCTAGGAGGCTGCTGGCTCCAGCACTTTTTTCCTTTTTTTTAATTCCAAAGAGAGTTTTTTTTGTTTTTGTTTTTTGGGGGCAATCAAATCCAGGGCTCTAGGCAAGCTAGGCAGGTGCTCTACCAAGTGCTACACCCTCAGCATTTAAGGTTCGTTTTTCTTTTGTGATACTGGGGATAAAACTTAGGGCCTTCACACTGAGCTATATTCCCAGCTATTCCCCCCCAGGCCCTCCCCCCTTATTTTTGAGATAGGGTCTCACTAAGTCTCTTAAGTTGCCCAGGCTGGGCTTGAATTTACAGACCTCCTTCCGCAGCCTCCTAGAGTGCTGGAATCACAGGCTTGTGCCATCCCACCCAACAAGATTTTTTAAAAGTACTCTAAGGAATTGTGTGAGGACTGCAGGATAAAGATTTCAACAAGTAGAGACTTAAATGAACAAGGGAGATTGGTCTCACAGTCCTGCTTAGCAATTAAGTCTATTAACCCAGTGACCCTAAATACCAACAGTTAATGGGATAGTTGGCTCCTGCATTTAAGCACTCTCTCAGCTGTTGCTCCAAGCTGTTGGTAACCAGTTGCACTGTTCCTGACCCACTGTTGAACTGAGAAGTGGGCCCTGGAGCCTGCTGGCCACCCAGCCACCTTTTGTCAGCTATTTCCAATAGTGACCTGTGAAACTCACAGCTGTGGGGAGGAGTGTACCACATCTGAGAAGAGCTCCTCTAGTGCCTTTTTGTCTTCTATATCTATTTATCTTTTCCCTCTGGTTGCAAAGGCTATTGGCTGACCTGTGGCAGAGGCTCTCCCATTCCAAAAAGAAGCTAATGGAGGTTTTTCACATCATCGTGAACCAGATCTGCCTCCTTCCCATCCTAGAAAGCAGGTGCGTCCCTAGGAGCTCTCTCCCAGCCCAGCAAGAGCACTCCCATCACTCCATCTTGGCCTCCTCCCCCTGCTCTGGAATTTGCCAAGTAGAGATGGGAAATGGAAAAATGCCTGTTGCCTCCAACTAGCCAGAGCCTTGCAGGGTGCAAGGCAGGCATGAAAGGGACTTGTGGATCATCTTGCATTATGTGGGCTCATCTTCCCTGGTGTCCTTTTCCAGCTGTGACAATGTTCAGGGCTTCATCGAGGAGTTCCTTCAGATCTTCAGCTCCTTGCTACAAGAGAAGAGGTGAGTATGGCTGAGCTGGGACCAGCAGTGGGACAGGCCTGTGGCCTTTCCACCCATCCCCATGGGACCTTATATACTGGAGCCTCTGCCATGTGCTCACCACTGCTGCAAGGTCCTGGCACTTGTGGTTGTGGAGCAGATACAAGGAGTGGCCTGCAACAGAACAGTGTCCCTGTGGCTCCATCCCTGTCCCTCTTGTCTCCTGTCTGTCCTGCAGGTTCCTCCGTGACTATGATGCACTCTTCCCTGTGGCTGAAGATATCAGCTTGCTGCAACAGGCCTCATCAGTCTTGTATCCTTCTACCACAGCCCACTGGCACGTGGCCTGGCCTGACTAGGGCAGGTGTGACCTGCTGGGACAAACAGGAGCAGAGAGTTAGCCAGTAGTCCTTAGAGCCGGCCAACATCCCAGCCCCCCTTTTTTCTAGAGGAGATGACTGCTTTGATGTCCAGAGTAGGGACAGTATAGTCTTGCTCTCTCTAGGTGTTGCATAAGTTTCTGGGCCTGTGTGACCAAGTTGGACTTGGGCCATACTCACAGATCTTACTGCAAGAGGGGAGAGGACAAGTAAACAGACAGAGAGTCACACAAGAGGAATTCAGACAGCACCTCACCTAGCGGAGCTCAAGGAGACAGAAGTGCTATCCTAGCTGGGAACAGAAAGAACAGATCGCCAAGCCAAGAGCTTGGATGAGGACAAGAATGTTCCCAGGGGTCAGAAGATAGAGCTGGCTCCTTGGAGGAGTCCACCAACTGTCATATACAGAATGCAGGGCGTGGCTGGGGGTGGTCCTTACTGGAGGAGGTGTGACTGGTGAGCTGCCTGCTGTATGCAGGGCCTTGAAGTGATGACCCTCACTGAGAAGTTTGGACTGTGTTCTGCAAGTGCTGGGAACTGTGGACAGCTGTGAAGCAGGAGGTAACATGGGCAGGTGTATACTATAGAAAAGCTCTGTTCAGCACAGGGAGCAGTATACAATGGCCTTGGACCACAGGAAGTTCAGGGAGGGCAGAGAGGAGGCTGTTGCTAGCATCTGATTTGGACTAGAAGTGGAATGAAGAAATTGGAGGCAACTCTCAGATTTCTAGCTTGGCAGTGTCCAGAGTGCTAGAGAGGGAGTAGGACTGTGAGCTCTTTTGGTTGCTTAGTCCTGCCTCAGGGCACCCCCTCTGCAAAAGGTCCTTGCCTAGATGGACAGGAAGCCCAGTGGCAGTGGCCCTGTCAGGCCCTCCTCCTAGCAGTCAGTGCAGAAGAGGAAGTGCTGGCTCATCCAAACACCATATCCCAAGACACTGATGGGGGACTCCAGCCCTGTCTTTGCCCAGATCTGCTTCATGTTGAATGACAGGTACTGTGTTGCAAGGACCATGTGGCCGTGGTCCGGCCTGCTGCCCTACTAGTCCAGGTTCCCATGACTCCTACTGGTCAGATGTTGGGGAGAGAGTGAGAAATCAAGTTGCCTCAGAGCTGGGAAGGCAGAGAAGGCTGTGGGACCTGAGAAAGAGCCCTTACTTAACACAGCCTCACAGGGATGAGACACGCACTGCCTACATCCTCCAGGCAGTGGAAAGTGCATGGGAAGGAATGGACAGACGGAAAGCCATGGATACTAAAGACCCATCAGTGGCCAAGGATCCTAATAGAGATTCTAATGGGGTCACAGTGACACCAAAGCTATCCAGTCAAATGCCATCACAACTGCAGAACTCAGAGGAAGAAGAGGTGTGTGTCCAGGGAGTTCCTTCCCCTGCATCCCCTACCCGCTCTGTACCATCAGGGCAGTGCCAGACCTCCTTTTCTTGTTTCTGCAATCAGGGAAAAGGTTTCTTTATAATAGACAACCTCAAGTCACTGGTCAGTTTGTGCTGCCTTTAGTTCCTAAGTTGAGGCCATGCTTAATCAGGTATTAGGACAGATCAAGTTGCTTAAGCTGTCTAAGCCTATTTTTCCTCTATGAAATGAAGAGGTGAAGCTTTTTGCATATGAAATTCCTCCTGAGCACTACCCTGTGCAGGTGAAAAGTGGGGCTCCTTTGGTTCCAACCCTGGAAACCTCACCACTTTGCCTCCTTGGAAGCCCCTCCATAAGACCAACACGGCTCCACTGAACAAGTTTGGAAGCCTCGGATCTAGTGCTTTCCCTCCAGGCCTTTCCAGAACTAGCCAAGTGCATGGTTGCTGATCGTACGACTCTTCCCTGAGTGTTGGGAAGCAGCGTGATGTAGGGATGGAGACCCCACAAACTGGGGGAGGCTGCTCAGGGATATAGCCTGTTTTGCCACTCACCAGCTATTCAGCCTTGGGCACATCACCCCCAGCCTTAGTCCCTCGTCTGCAAAGTGAGGATAGATACCGTGCCCACTTCTGTGAGGTTGTTGGGATTTCCAGAGCCTCTGCCTGGAGCACTGGGCCTGGCTGACCCATGATTCCCCATTAAGAAGTACTCTGTTCTTCCTGTGAGACCCTGGATCCCATGATTCTCCCCAGGCCTTGAAAAAAGACAGCCCCTCCACCCTTCCACACCCTTCCCCATTTGGCTTCTTATCTGAATCATTTATTGTTGTTGTTGTTATGATTATTCTGTGGTTCTGGGAATGGAACCCAGGGCCTTGTACATGCTAAGGCAAGCACTATACCACTGAGCTATAGACCCAGCCCTTTATTATTGTTTTGATCTGTCAATTTTCTTAAAAGTATAAGAAAATTATGCCTCAGTGGGCAGTATATAAAATGAATCCCCCTTGCTGAAAAGAATATAATTAAAGGGGAACACATCCACACCATCCAGCCCGGTGTTTGCTGTTCCCTAGCAATGTCAGTCAACTTGTTAGACTTGGTAAAGGGCCTTGATTAGTAGACCATGACCATTTATAGAGTACCTAGTCTATACCAGTACTCGTTTATGTGAATCATACCTTTAAATCATTTAAAACAACCCCATGGGTAGATGGTAGTAGGCCCATTTTATGAAGAAACAGGCTCAGTGGCCGGGGATTTAGCTCTGGTTTCGCTGACTGCTGTGCAAGCGCAAGGACCCAAGTTCGATTCAGTACTAAAAAAAAAAAAAAAAAAAGAAACAGGCTCAGAGAGGGAAGCACCCTGCCCAAAGTCACACATCCAGAAATAGCAAAGCATCAAGGCCCCTTTTTCACAGAGAAGGGAATGCAGGCTCAAAGAGACTTGAGTTACTTGGCTAAGGTCCTACAGTTAGGAGAGGCAGGGGAAGGAATCGAAGTAAATCCCATGATGGCAAATCCAGTGCTGTTTGAGGCTATAGCTCTATCACCCTTGGGCTCAGCCTTCCCCTTCTTCACTCTAGCTCTCACTGCAGTGCATGGGAGCAGCCGCCTCCCTGGGCCCCACCATGGGCAGTGTTGAACTGGACTCACTCATCTCCCAAGTGAAGGACCTGCTGCCGGACCTTGGGGAGGGCTTCATCCTGGCCTGCCTGGAGCATTACCACTACGACCCAGAGCAGGTGATCAATAACATCCTGGAGGAGCGGCTGGCACCTGCCCTCAGCCAGCTGGACCGAAGCCTAGCCAGGTGGGACAGACTGGTGGGTGGAGGCTGGGACCCAGTCTGCCCCCGGGCAGGAGGCCCTCTCTCTGCCTCCCTCTCTTCCTTCCCACATAGCCCAGGGCTCAGTTTGCTCTCTCTTCACCACAGCAGTGTACTGTTTAAATAATGCCTTCTTCAGGGAAACAAAACCTGGGGCCCCCAGGATGTTCTCAGTGTACAGCTTATAGTCTCTGTGGTACTTCATGGGAAGACTGATTAGAGACAGATGTGACCAAAGTTGCTGAGCTCTTCAGAGTTCCTAAGTTTTTGACCTGTTCCATCCTTACCACCTTCCCAGTATATTTCTGAGGGGGGACATCCAAAGCTTCCCGTCCTTTGTACCTACCCTTTCTGAGTCTGGCCCACTGCTGCCCTCAGCACCTCAAGGGACACCATGAGAGGTGGCACAAGTAGATGTTTCTTCCATGAACAAATGATATTTACCAAATGAATGAGTGAAGTGATCTCTGTGCCTTTGGACAAGTTCCTCAGCACTAAGGCACAAGGAGGTTATGTGAGGCCGAGGATGTGGTAGAGCATGTGCTTAGCATGTTCAAGGCCCTGGATCCATCCCAGCATCAAAAAAATCCCAGAAGAGACTGACCTGTGACCCCCTGTCTCATAGGGCTATTGAGGATTAAATGAAGGATGGAGCTTTTTAAAAACAGAAAGAGGGCTGGGGATTTATCTCAGTGGTTCCAGCGCCTGCCTCAAAAGTGCAAGGTCCTGAGTTTGATCCCTGGTACCAAAAAAAATAAAATAAAATAAAGCCAGTGTGCATGGGGGAACTTCCTTTGTGGTATGGCTGCACACTCAGGCAGGGCCTTGTCTTCAGACTAAAAGATTTTCAGACTGTGTCCTAGTTGTGAGCATTGAAGCAGAGTGAAGATTCTGATGAATAGAACACAGCAGGGGGAGCCAAGAGTGGTGGTGCACACCTGTAATCCCAGCACTCGAGAGGCTGAGACAGAAGGATCATGAGTGCAAGGCCAGCCTGGGCAATTTAGCAAGATCTTGTGTCCCAAAAAAAAAGTATATGTGAGGAGAGAGTGAGGCACAGGAGGTAGGCATCAGCTGGCAGCATCCCTAAACTGATTTCTGTACCCCCAGACAGGCAAAGCCAGACCCCACGCCCCTACTGACATCTCGTCACAACATCTTCCAGAATGATGAATTTGATGTGTTCAGCAGGGATTCTGTGGACCTAAGTCGGATACACAAGGGCAGGAGGTGAGTGCAGTGGGCATGGGGTTCCACTCACCCCAGCTCCGGAAGTGCACAGGGACAATGAGAGAAACCAAGGTCACCATCTGTACAGAACTGGCTCATTGTGCACTTCCAGGGAGGCGGGCAGATTCCTTAATGATTGTGCTTCAGGCTGTGACTCTGTGCAAGGAAGTTGTTAGTGAATCCTTTTTGTCAATCACAAAAGGCCAGAGGGGCCAAATCTGTCCCCTTGTGCCCTTATTATCTATTTGATGTGTTGACCATCAATTCTGTGGCTAGTAGACTTGGCCACTGCTTCCCAGAAGCCACTCTTTGACTTGATTTTCCCTAGGCTACAACAAAATGAGAAAAGTAAAGATTTCCACTAAGTAAACTTTTCCAAAGGTGAACATCACATCCCATTTTAGGCCCTTTCTCTTTTAGTTTTTCTCCTTATTTGGGGGCATCAAAAAGTCCATTCATGACTTACTTATTTGTTCAACAAATATTTGCCTGGTGCTTAAGCATTCTAGGCCCTGGATTAATTAGGTTCTGGAACTGGAGTGGGGAGTGAAATAGACACGCCCTGTGCCCACCTGGAGTTTGCATTAATCAGCTCATCAAACAAGCAGTGTCACATGGCAGATGGAACAAGTACTAGGATGGAGGTGTGCAGACTCCTGTACCTTTGTTGAGGCTCCAACCCAGGAAGGAGGGAGGGCTTCTCTGAGAAGATGATGTGGGACTGAGAGCTGAAGGTTACAAAGGGGCCAGTTCTGCAAAGGAGAAAAGGTAAAGCTTTGAGCAGAGTGAACAACAGGGACAGTGCCCCCAAGGCCATCGTTAAGTGTGGTGAGGTTCTATGAACTGACACATTTTGGGGTTTTTGGTGTTTTTTGTTTTGTTTTGTTTTGGTACCAGGGATCTCGGGACCTTGCACTTGCAAGGCAGGCGCCAGAACCACTGAGCTAAATCCCCAGCCCCTGACACATTTTGTTTTGAAAAGCTGTGGAATGATGACCCACCAGGGAGACTGAGAGGCAGCAGTAATGGTAGAGCATTTGACAGCCAAATCAGGAATGGCAAAATAAGACATTAGCAACACTGCTGGTCTCCCAAAGTTCTGAAATGGTGTTGATTCATTGAACCCAGAAATCTGAGAACCCCTGGACAAGCACAACCTGCCCTGTCCCCAGTCATAATGATGTGAATGGGGAGGTTCAGAGAGGGAGGAGGCCAGCCCTGTTCTGGTAGGAGCCATAGTGTGGAAGTGCAAGCTATTTCCCCTTCCTTGGCTTGTTAGAAGCTTGGCTGGCTGAGAGTTTGAGGAGCGAGTGCAGGCCAGATCTAAATCTATCTGGCTGGCTGAGCAGGAAGCACTTGCAAACCGCTTAGTCATGTACATTGCGACATCCTCAAGATGCCAGGCCAGAGCTGTTATTCTGTGTCAGTGGCCGCTATACCAGGCCACCATGGCCCTCTGTAGTTCCTTCTGTGGGAGAGGGGCACCCAGGGGGTCCCCCAGGCTAGTAGAAGGCTGGCTCATGTTCTAATTTAGGGAGCCTAATTCAGTAGGTCTCCCATAGAGCTGAGGTATCTCTGGGCATGGCTTTTCACCTGACCTTCATCCCAGGCTTTGCCCAGGGCCATAGTAATGTAAGGACCTATCACCCCCTACCCAAGACATAGGTCACCCACAAGTATTTGCCAAGAGGCTGGCCCCAGCTGTCAGGGTCATTGGAAGGGCTGAAGTGTTCCAGGCTGCTTGGCAGAACCTGGATGGCCAGTGTTTACTGAACCCGCTGTGCTGGCTTAACCCAGGGGTGGGGATTACAAAGAGGCAAAGCCTCCATTCATGTGTTCGTTATTTATTTATTCATCAGCAAATATTTATTAAGTGATTTACAAGCACCAGATCCTATGCTAGACACCAGGAAAACAAGGTGAGCCAGGTGCCCCAGCCTTGTCCTCAAAGGGCAGAGACCGTGGGAAAGACATACTATTAAACAAGAAGCAGCAGAGCAAAGGTGCCAGGGTAGGGTGCACCAGAAGTTCAGCAGGGACAGGTGTCCTAATCAGGGCAGTGTAGAGAGTCTCAGGCCCTTCTTTTTCTCAAGGAGCACACTAGAAATTCAGTCCTATAAAGTAGGTCACATTATGTGTATGTCCCAGAGTCCAATAGGATGCACTCCATGGCTTAAGTAGTAAGGCGATCTGGTGTGTAGGGAACAGGGGAAGGGGACGTTACCAGAACCTCTGCAGTAAGTCCTATTCTCTGCGAGCCACGGCAGCACACAGCGAATTACAGGAAAGGTCGACAAATGAGAAGAAGCCGAGCTTTGGGTCTGATCAGTGCTGCTCTGGGCAGCAAAGACAAAAGCCCCCTAGCTTGCAGCACCTTTTATTCAGTACATGGGGAAACAGATGTAACAAGTGAAATGCAGAGTTCAGTACTTCACAGTGGGATAAACAAGGTGTAACAAAAGGCTGGGGGGCAGTGGAAATCTAAAAACAATGAGGAACTGTGCAGATGAAGATTTGGTTCCTCCCTGGCATCTCCACAGGTGTGGTCTTGTCCTGGAGCATTACAGCATCACAGGATCACTGAGGTCTCAGTTGTGACCCGAGGCCAAAATGCAATTATGTCTGGAATGTTATAGCTGGGCTGTAGGCCGGAGAACTAGGCCTACTCAAATGAATTTTCCCTAGAATTATGTAACATTGCTCCCAACACTGGTGGTCCCTTGTGTAGCAATGAGCTGCATGGGGAGGGGCATGACTAGCCCGTGGTGCAGTGCCATGGTCCAAGCTGCCTCTTTTCTGTCTTTGCTGGCCTTGGCTTTGTGATCAGGCTGGTTCTCTTGAGGGTGCAGGGGCATAACTGCTGTGTCAGCTTTGGCTTCTGGAAATGACAATGCCAAGAGGAAGTCCAGTTTAGATATCCTTGTCTCTCTTAGATACTAGGAAACCAGGCCAGAAGTTTCCAGATTCCCCTGTTATCCAGGATAGTTGAGTCATAGAGTAGGACATGAGGCTTCCTAATATGAAAGGCAGAGGTGCAAAGACTTGAACAAAATGAGTGTCTGTGGGTAGGATGGCTGAGGTGGAGGGGGTGTTGGGTAGATGCAAACCATCTGTGCCACAGATATATTGCAGCCAGTGAAGGAAGCTGTGTCCATAAGGTGGGGTCCCCCACTCCTTTGAACTGTTCCACAGTGCCCTAGAAGATAACAAATGTTCCCCCTCAAAAAAGGTTCTGTGGCTGGGCGTGGTGGTGCATGCCTATAATCCCAGCACTCTGTAGGCTGAGGCAGGAGATTTACCACGAGTTTGAGGGCAGCCTGGACCACACAGTGAGACCCTGTCTCCAAAAAAAAAAAAAAAAAAAGGTTCTGTGGCCAAAAATATGTCTGCCTCCTGGAGAATCATAGTACATGTTAGCACGTTAAAGCCTCTGACAAGTCCTGCAATGAAAGAAACAGAACTCATTGTGTTGAGCCCAGAAGGTGCCAGATCTTCTTTATATGTTATCTTACTTCATTCTCACATCAGGTAGGTGCTGGAGAAGGACCTGAGATTTAGTGAGGACAGAGGACTTGCCTGTGGTTACACAGTTCTGGCAGTGATAAAGCAAACCTGAGCCAGAGACCTGAAGCTCTGCTGTTAGAAGCTATATGAGCTTGACAAGTTGATCTGCCTCTCTAGGTCTCCTGACTCCTGACTGTGTGGAGTTTATTGCCTTGTGGGCCTGTAAGGACCAGTTTGAGATGGGCCTTGAAGAACAGGGTGGAAGAGATGAGAGGAATAGTGACCAGGTTTCAGGGAAGCCTGCATGTCCTTGGACTTGCTGCCCTCATATAGGAGGCTGAGGAAGCATCTTGTTTCAACAGCAGTCCCTGAAGCCACTGTTGCCTACCTTTCTAGCCTAGAGTGAAGTTCTGGCCCTTAAACAGACCTTTTACCAGCTGGTTTTGCTGGAATTTTTCTTGCCCTTCTTCACTTCAAATAAGGTCATGGGGCCAAAGCCACACCTCCCTATATGGGCTGCCAAGGCACCAGGCTCTGCTGTCCCTGTGCCTTCTCCTGAGGACCAGCTGGGCTGGTGGAGGTTATCTAGCTTCTCTGCCTGGCCTGCCAGGGAGCCGAGTCACCCAGACCCCCCCAACACACAAGAATTACCCCCATTGCCCGAACCAGGGACAGGATGGACCAGGAGCTGCAGGGTGGCAGAAGGATGGTGACCTCACCTTCATCCTCAGTCCCAGGCCCAGCCAGATCCTGGCACCTGCCCAGCACTCCACAAACATGGCTGAATGCGGAGTATGTTCCTACCAGTGGCACCAACCACCTGGACAAGCTTAGACCTCTTTTACTTCTCCATCTCTTTTCCAGCATGGCAAAGGGTTAAGGCCACCATCACAAGCCCCCCTACCTTGTGGCTGTGAAAGATTCCTGTGGACCAAGATTTCTCCCTGGTCCAAACATGTCATCCTTTCCTCCTGGTCCAGTCAAATAGCCTTCCTATCACAGAGCTTCATTACCCCTTCCTCCAGATCCCTGCTGGACTCTGGAGCAGCAGTCCCTTTCTCCTGTCTCTGTTTTCAGAGCAGGTATGTTGCCATTCAGCATGATCCATGTTGCTTGTTATGTGGCCATCTGTCACCACACTGCACTGAGTTCACGAAGGCAGGTCCATACCTAAATCCTTTCTGAATCCACCCCCCCGCCACGCCTCAGCCTTACAGCCCTGCATGGCAAGTAATAGGCCCTTTTTAAAGACTGTTGCCCGGGCATGGTGGCACATGCCTGTAATCCCAGCACTCTGGGAGGTGCTAAGGCAGGAGGATCTCAAGTTTGAGTCCAGCCTGGGCATCTTAGCGACTTAGCAAGACTAAATCTCAAAATTAAAAAACAAGTGGTGAGGTGGGAAGAGGCTGGGGATGTAACGCAGTGCACAGGCCCTGGGTTCAATCCCCAGCACCACAAAAAAATACTTGCAGGAAGGCAAAGCCATGCTGGGGACTGCAGTCCTGACCTACTGCAGGCTCTCAGGCAGACACCCTGACACACTCAGATGCCTGCCCCTCCCTGTAACAAAAGCCAGTTAATAGAAGATTTTTATGGAAGCTGTGTATAGCCTGTGTCTCTTTTTTTTTCCCTCCCCTTGATACATTCCAGAGTCCCAATTTCACAGCTAAGCTGGATTTTCTTGCCTGGCATCTCATATTGATTTTCCCCTGCAGGGTTAGAAATTACATTCCGCAAACTTGTGTGAGTGGCTGGGAAGCCAAGTTTTTCTACAGGTTGACAAAGGCATGGTCAAGATACCTGCCTGAGTCCCTGCCAAGGCTATGCTATGGGTCACAGTGATCCCAACAGTGTCCCTTTCCCCTCCACTGCACTCGAGTGTCCTTACCTGTACTGTGACGGGAGTTGCACTTCCAGGATTTTTCTTCCAGTGAATTCTTATGTGGAAGTGAGACTGTGGAACAGGTAGCTAGAAAGTTACTGTGGTGAAAGGAAGAGGTCAGGGCTCCTCCTTGCTCCACACCCCAGAGGTTGGGATAGCTCCACGAGTGGCCTTGCTTACTTTTTGTTTTATTTTAAAGATTGGTGCTTGAGGCCCAGAGTTCCAGCACCACTCCAAAAAACAAAAATGAAACAAAACAGAAAACCAAAGATTGAAACAGCCCCAAACCCCTCTTAAGGTAATCATTGTCATTTAATGACACACTGGGCCTTCTTTGCATTTACATCTAAAGCTAAGAGCCCACAGAAACAGAAGTGGGTGGCTTTGCTTTCAGGGTCATTCTGTTTTTCTGTAGCTTTCTTTTCTCCTGCAGAATAGAATTCTTTCCTCTGTGAGCACAAATAGATCAGTGTTGTTCTTGAGAACTGCGCACAACAGTCTGTAGTACAGACACGGCACAGTTCATGTGGCTGTTTCACTCATGGTGAACATTAGTCGCTTTCCATTTTTACTGTTACCAACAATACTGAAAAGAAAACCTCTGACCAGACTTGTCCATGTACATGGGGATCGAGAGTCCCTAGAGTCAGTGCCCTGGAGGAGAATTTCTTGGTCAGAAGAGAGAGATGTTGGCCAGGTGTGGTGGCACACACATGTATTCCCAACACTTGGGAGGCTGAGGCAGGAGGATAGCCATGAGTTTGAGGCCAGCCTAAACTACGGAGCAAGACCTGTCTCAGAAAACCAAAAGAGAGAGAGAGAGGTGTGTGTTACTTTGACAGTGGCTCCTGGGATGCTCTATTGCAGGGCCATAACAGTGGCAAGAACCCCACCACCCACCCCTCACCAGTGCTTGATATCCCTTATCTCAGTATAGCCAGTTCCAGGTGTGGCAGAGTAAGCCTGGTGTCTCTCTGAATCTTATGCACCCATGGCCATCCAGACCTGATGGTTTCCTTCCTCTCTGATGTCCCCAGGAAGGAAGGGAACACTCGGAGCCTGCTAAATGACAAGCGTGCAGTGGCAGCACAGCGGCAGCGCTATGAGCAGTACAGTGTGGTGGTGGAGGAGGTAGGCTGACCAAGCTGGGCCTCTGCTGGGCATGGGAGACCCGACTGGTCCCTGAACTCCTCTGACCCATGCTTCCTTCCACAATTGCAGGTGCCACTCCAGCAAGGTGACTACCATGGTGAAAACTATGAGGATGAGTATGATGACACTTACGATGGCAACCAGGTGGGCGCCAATGATGCAGATTCAGATGATGAGCTCATCAGCCGCAGGTGAGGCAGTGGGCAATGGCATTCCAAGAGCAGAGCAGCTCTCAGGCCTGGGGGGGGGGGGGCACTCTCATCACCTGTGTGTCCAGATGGGAAGCCAGGCTTGATCACATGGGCAAGTCAGGACAGAACCAGGGCCCATGCCCAGGCCTTCTGACTCCTAGTCCAGTGCTTCTCCACCTCAGTCCATTCTGAGTATGGCCGCATTTATTTGGTCTCATGAAATAGTTTTGC